GGGGGGCATGTGCCCCCCCAGGGACCAGTCAGTAATTGGGGGGAGTCCCCCCATGGCCAATCTCCCTATGGGCCCCACTCCCTATTGCCTAAGTGGGGAGCGGGGCCGGTCAGGGTGTGCACGTGCACCCCCGATGCGTCGCCACTGGCCCTAGCAGAAAGCGACAGAGACAACGCCTGTGGGAAGATGTCTTTCGCCATGCTTCACCCTTTCCACGACATGCTACTTCAATGCAAACTTTTGCATGAGGGCATGCATATGTGACCAGGCAAGATGCTCCGCGGCACACAAATTAACTTAATTGCCACCACGGATGGCTTCCAAACACCGTGTCATGGCAACCATCCTCATGAGCACCTCAGATAGCTTGGTGCAGGGGTGGCCAACCTCCAGCACAAGTGGCACGGGGCGGAGGGGCTTGACACCTGCCAAAAGGAGGCTAACTTGCCACCAGCTCCCACGCAAATGACTCCCCAAATTGATGGTGCCCCTCAAACGAGGAGGCGAGGCCAGGGGGAACCCGCAGAAGCCGAGGGAGCAGGTTGGGCCCCAGCGAGGCCACCTCAGGGCCCCACATCCCATGGGGCTTCTCCCCAGAGCTGGGACAGGCCTGAGACCCCCCCAGCTGGAGGCCCCTCAGCCAGGGGCTGTCCCAGCCTGGCCCCCTGACACCGTGTCCAGCCCCCGGGCGCCTCCCCCCGGCGGGCAGGCGATGCCGTCCACGCTCAGCATCATAACCCCCACCCCAAGCCCCGCGCCGCCGCCGCTCACCCTGTTCCGCCATCTTCTCCCTCCCCCGCTCCAACCCGCTGCAGCTGACTCGGGGCGGAGGGACTTCCGGCCGGCCGGAGAGGGAGGGGGAGTCGGGGCAAAGGGATTTCCGGTCGGCCGGCGGGGAAGAGGGAGAGAGTGAGGTCGGGGTGGAGGGACTTCCTGCCGGCCGGGGGGAGAGGTCGGGGCAGCCGCGCTTCCGCTGCAGTCGGAAGGTGGGGCTGGGAGGGGGCTGGGTGGGTTGGAAGGAGACGGGGTGGGGGAGCAGCTGCCTCGGGGGAGTAGTGGACAGGGCAGGTTTTTGGGTAGATCTGAGGTTTTTTTAAAATGCAGGAAAGGGGGGATGCTTCTTTCCCCCTCTACAAAAGAGGAAGCCTTGTTCACACGGTGCTTCTCCTGCAGGGCCTCCCAGGGGTGTGACGAAAGTGGTGCAGGAGCTGTGGGGCATTATTACATCTAGCGCAGCCCAGGGGAGAAGGAATCTGGTCCCTGACAATGAGCCAGAAATAAAGTCAGGTCCCCCCTTTGGTGCCTGCTGCAGCTAAAATTTAACCCCCCCCCCCCACACACACACACACGCACACAGAGGCAGGCGCGCTTGTGGTCGGGCAGTGCTGAGGCATAGCTGGACATCATGGCTCCTTGAATCTGAGCTCTTCATTCTTGGGGGGTTAAGGACCCTCTCTTCTTTCGAACGGTCTTTGAACACACCCAGCAAGCTAGGTTTTTGGTTGGCCTAAGCACATCGGCAAGCAAGGGTCTTTGAGTATATTTCTGTATGCACATCTACTCAAAGACCCTTGCCTGGCCTAGTCAAGCCAGCCTTTACTCTGCCGTTCTGCCCTCTCTTTGCTGCTCCTTGTAATGAAGCTCCTATTTCGCAGCCCTGCGGGCTATTTTCAATTCCTTGCATTTGTTTCTGCTTCAATCTCAAACTGAATCATGCAGCCCAAGGTTCCCAGTGTATAGGAAAAGCTTCTAGTTTCTTTTTTAACTTGAGAAAAATGTGTTTTGTTTAACAGGTGACAATGCACCTCGCCCTGGGCACCCCACCTTTTCAAAAGTCTAGATCTGGCTGTGAACACAGCATGCACTTTTCTTCGGTTGCATAAAAACTAGACGCTTTACAAACCTGCTAAGGGCCTAGAGCTATATTATTCAGCTTAAGATCAAAGCAAAAACAAATATATGCGTATTGGAACGCGTATGGTTTGGCTGTGTTGTATATTGTACAGAGCCGATCCTAGGGGTGTGCAGGGCCCGGGGCATATCAGCCTGTGCGGGGGGGCATGGCGGTGGAGGGGTTGGTGGGCGGCTGGAGCGGTGGGGAGGGGGAGCTGGCGAGAGGCTGGTGGAGGGGTGGCAAGTGGCCGGAGCAGCGCAATGGCGCCCTTAGCACATGCCAATATCACTGTCTGCAGAGCCCCCCAAAGCGTGGGGTCCGGGGCGGTGGTCCTGATTCACACCGTCCCCCACAGGGACGGCTGTGATCGTGTATAAACACCACAACAAACTAGGCAAAAAAGGAAGAGATCAAGTATGTTTCATTAGTCCTGTAGTCAGTAGAAATATATATACAGACCTCTTTCAGCTTCCTAAAACAAAATCTAGTCTTCTTGAGCATCTTGACAGTGCAATCAATACGTCACAGAAACTTATTTCCATGCCTAAGTTAATGTTTTTAGGTAAAGACAGTGAGCAGGCCTCTGAAACAGGAACTACATTACCAGGAGCAGCTAGTAGGTAGCAGAATTGCAAAAGAATGATAGTTCAATTATTTGATCATAAGGGCCATTAAAAAGGAAAGGAAGTTGTTTAACACCTGTGGTATGAAAAGTTTAGAAGGAATCAGGTAGATTATAACGAGGCATGAAGATAAGTGATGCCTTTGCTGCTGCCTGAATAGAGATGCTGCTGCCACTGCCAGGCAGCTGATTTTAAACTTTGGGTAGACCAGGAATTAAAGGAGGGTGGGGAGTGACTGCTCCATTGCTCCTCTCTGTAATCTGCTCCTGGATCCTCTCAATGGTGCTGTGGGGTGCCATGCGATGTTAGCACCATTAGGTGTGCAAATGTGATTCACACGATAAACCCAGAGATTTCAAATAGGCATCCATAGTGTTGAAAAGATTCTGACTTGCTGTAGGCTATCTGAGTTCTTTGCCACAAAACAATTACCCTATTATTTTTCTGTAGTCAAAAATGTGGGTAAAAAGTAAGAGCTGGCATTTTCCGGGGGCTGCCTAGAGCAGAATGAGAGATACCTTGAGTCTAAAAAGTTTGAGAACTACTGGAATGAGGAAACCACCATAAAGTAACAGGGGTGAGAAGAGAAATTACGTAAAGAATAAATAACATTAAAACATAAAGCAGCAAAGAAACAATCCTGAAGAACTGCTGTAATTAAAGTGCAAATAAAGCATAACATAAGCATTAAAAACTACTAATGTCCTGATCATGTGAATAGTTAAATACACACGCACGTGCACACACACAAGCTCTTTACATCCACTGCAACACTAGCGATTTCTCTTAAGCCCAGTTGCATTGACTCGAATGAGATTAGATGCAAGAGAAAGGCCAGTGTTTTCGATCACTGGTTTTCAAATTGTGTTCTGCCTGGGGTTCCAGGAGGAGGTCTCGGGGGCTCCATGGAAAAAAATTGGTAACAGTGAACAAATTTGTAAAATAGACTTATTGTTAACTATTTTTCAGAATTTTGCAATTTGACTCCTGCTTCACTTACATGACCGCCTCGTGCCTCCTGAGGCTGGGGGGCACGGTGATCACTCACAGGTGGCGGTGTCAGTGGCGGTGGCGAGTGGGAACCGCCTGCAGGCAGCCGCGGTGATGGCAGCGAGGGCAGGCTGAATGGAGACTCCCGCAGGTGGCCGAGGTGGGGGGTGGCTAACGGTGACTGCCCGTTGGCAGCGGGGGTGGTGGGCACTGGGTAGTGAGTGGCTACCCCGTGGATGCCGTCAGCAGCAGCCAATCTTGGGGGTGCACGTGCACCCTCATGCACCCTCTACGTGTTGCCAATGGTGACTTATTGATGAAATACATTAACTCAGTCTTCCTAACTCTTTCTGCTGATACGATCCTTGCCATATGTTTTATTCATAGGGCAATAATATGATATGAGATTTCCCCGCCTTGTTTTGATGGACAGTTTACAAACAGAGGTACATGATCGAAATCTGGCAGCGATGTAGGCCTGGTGCTCCAATGCGATTATTCTGTCTCTGCGTTGTCGTATTTCAATCAGTCAGTTGACAAGTGCCTTAATGTCAGAGCAGTGTTGAACAGTCTCTGAATATTTTATATTTTTGATTTACCAAGAAAAAGTATGGATTGGTGATTGAAAAGAGGCAACGCTAGGAAAAGTAGTCAGGAAAAATGCCAGGTTCCAATGCAACAGGAAGTAATTACCAGTGCTTCTATTGTTATATGTGCCAGCATATCAAATCAGTCACAAGCTCTTCATCCAGTGAGCAGTGAATCAAAAAAAATAAATAAATACCATGCAAGCTACATTAACTATGGTTTTACTTGGACTGGTGATAAAAACAAGCCAGATGGACAGTGTGTTGAGTGTGGACAAGTTTTGCCTGACAGCAGCCTGAATCCAGCAGAGTTACAAAAGCATCTGGAGGCAAAACACCCACAAGTAAAAGACATGCATGGTGATTATTTTAAAAGGAAATGTAACAATTTTATTTAAAAAATCACTACCTTATGTTATTTTATTTGTTAAGACAACAGAAATGCTCATAAATTCATAGATGTTAGGGGCTGGAAGGGACCTCACGAGATCATCAGGTCCAGCCCCCCTGCACTAAATAGTTGGAGAACAATATTTAAGCAAGCTTTCAGGTTCAAAAACCCTTTGTCAGGCTAAGGAAGTCTCTGTAGTTGGTGTGTGCTCTTCCTGGATGGAATGAAAAGTAAAGAAGCCAGAGGCTGGGCTGGGCTGCATACAAGATGGACAGTCAGTGAAGATGTAGATTGAAGAGTCAATGGGTGAGAGACAGGCTGGGGCAGGGGGAGAGAAGGGGGATGAATAGTGGAGAAGTACCTGGGAAGTCAGCTGTCAGGCAGGTTATAATGTGTCATAGTCCTGTTATACCATACAACAAGTTTTTCTTGTAGTCCTGTTATACCAATACCATCAAATTATTTCCAACAGGACTACAAGAAAAACTACAGACCTTGATCCCCCCACTACCTAACCCGGGGACTTTTTACATGCTCCCTAAAATCCACAAACAGGGGAACCCTGGCAGACCTATCATATCCGACCATGGGACCCTCACTGAAGAAATATCAGGTTTCATTGAATCAATCCTAAAACTGCTTGTCACCCACAGAGCAAGTTTTGTCCAAGACACTACAGACTTTCTACGGAAACTTAAAAACATAGACCACCTTCCCAGCAACACCCTTCTAGCCACCATGGATGTTACCAGCCTATATACCAACATCCCACACCAGGATGGCATCCAAGCCTGCCTTATATATCTACAGGAACATGATTACAACCCAGAATACAGACCCAAAGATATTACTGACCTAGTACCCTTCATCCTCACACACAACAATTGCACTTTTAATAACCAACACTTCCTCCAGATGATGGGAACAGCTATGGGCACCAAAA